AACAAAAGGCTTATTCATTTATATAGTCCTGAAAATGAGCAGCTAGTAGATGACACACCTAGAATCACCCCTTGAGTCAAACTCCAGGGAGTATGATGTCACTGGTTTTATCTTTGTTCAGATCTTTAAAAGGAAACATGGCTCCTAAACAGTGTAACTACACAAGTTCTAGGCTCCCTATCATTTCAGAGGACTCCAACATGCTGCATGAGCTCTTTCTTCTTCCCCCTCTCTAAAGCACCATGTCTGTCAGCCATCCTGCCACTCAGAATTCTAACAGTGTTGTCAACTGAAGAATACAGAACAATGATAAGTTTTTGTGTTCAAACACAAGGCAGATCACTTCAGATATCTCCCTAGAGATGTAATTTTCCTCATTTAACAACCATGTTACGTTGCAGGTAGGTATTTCAACTTACCAGTTAATTATTACCCATCCACCCACTCCCGCCCCCGCCCCTGCCCAGATCAATCACTCCTCATTCTTCTCATACCTATCAGGGCAATAAGTAGATCATGATGTGGGCATTGGTCAGCAATTCTCAGAAGGGAGGGAACCTATTCCAATTTGTCTTTCAAGCCTTTGGTGGCTGGTTTTGTTGTTTTTAATGACTATGCAGATTCCTTGAGAGGCTACCTGCAGACACTTTCATTTTGACACATTTCATTTTGAGGAAATATAACAGATGGAAGCATTACTGATCATTTTGTCAATTCAACAGTGACGTGACAATTAGTTACATCCACTTGTGAAACCACTTATCACACATTCTTCACATTATCAGATAGAAGCATTCTAGCCTCTAAAGGTCTGATGTAAATCCTATTTTCCTACTAAATGCCGTCATAAAATTAGAGACATGTTACCAAAAGAGAGATCCCAAATAGGCTGAGTTAAAAACCTTGGCTGAAGAAGAGAGTAACTGCCAGCCCTGTGGCAGCTCACTTGTTCCTGATCATTTGAAAATTAGGTGTCTATTACCTCTGGTCACGTCCCTCATCCTCATGACCCCAGGGATGTCTTTGTTGTTGTTGAAGTTACCTAACTCTATCCTGGGGACCCCCAGACTTTGCCCTCTTCCTTCTTTGATCTTGGCATTTTCGTCCTTTTAATTAGGAATTCTACTGCAGTAACACGCTTCACCAGTGGGGGTCAACTCTCAAACTGTACTTCCACCAGAAAAGCGCTATGTTCGAGGTTGCTGCTTATATAAAACATACTCATTACCGATCGATCCCTGACTTAAAAATTCTCCATTGAAATTCTGTAATCATCTCCTGTTTCCCCCTCTGGTACAAACATACATAGTACTTTGTATTACAGGTTAAAATTAGATACTTATGGTGAATAGGATATTTCATTCTTAGAAGAAAAGTTATACTTATTTGACAGTGTGAAATTTCTCAAAGTGAAATGTATACCTTCTTAATATAGACTGACTCCTCATAAAGGAATTCCACAAAAAATAATTAACATATATACAAAGATAAACCATAACAGGCTCCCCTATAATCTTCTTTTTAATAGTGACTGTAAATTTAATATAATCTCAGTTACATAAGCAAAGATGTAGTTTTATTGATACAAAGACACAAAAAGAATTAAGAGAAAGAATTCCAAAATATTAACAGTTATCTCAGAATGGTGTAATTCCAAATGGCTTGCAGCTCTTTCTTTATATTTTTTGAATTTTAAAAGTTTTATTCTTTTTAGAATTACTATATTATTGTGGGCAGTAGTTTAAAATATATACATATATATGCATATGCACATGTACCTTTTTATTTGATAAAATACACATAACATAAAATTTACCATTTTATCCACTTGCAAGTGTACAAAATAGGTAGCATTAAGTACGTTTACAATGTTATACAACCATCACTACTATCCAGTTTCAGAAGTTTTTCATCACCTCCAGTGGAAACCTTGTGCCCATTAGGCAGTCACTTCCCATTCATACCCTCCCCCAAACCCCTGGCAACCACTAATCTGCTGTCTATCTTTACGATTTGCCCATTCTGGATATTTCTTATAAACAGAATCATACAGGATGTGGCCTTTGTGCCTGGCTCTTTTCACTTAGCATAATGTTTCCAAGGCTCATTCCTGTTGTAGTATGTATCAGTCCTTCATTTGTTTAATGGCTGAATAATATTCAATTCTTTGGCTATAATGCATTTTATCCAGTCATCTGTTGAGAGACGTTTGAGTTGTTTTCCACCTTTTGGCTATTGTGAATAGTGCTGCTATGAACATTCATGGACAAGTTTTTGTTTCAACATCTGTTTTCATTTCTTTGGGGTATATACTTAGCAGAGGAAGGTTACTGACATATGCTTTTTAAAAAATTTATTTAATTCTACTTTGGCATTCTGTGTTTAAAGTAGCAACGCTTTTCTCAAAATTGTTAAGGATAATCCTTATAATACTGATTATGGTACATTTTTTTAAAGGCCAAAATCACACTCTTTTTAAAAATGTAATTTTCATCCTTATTCTTTGGGAACAAATTTATCTTATGCTAAATACTTTAAACTATGATGAAGTAACTGAAAATGACAGTCTTTTCCTCTTAGCATAGCTATTCTAGCAGTACTTAAATCACTTTCAAATGCTTATATATTAAAAGTACAAAAATATATGTATATTTTTTGTTGCTTCTTTAACAGAAAAGCATCATTAAATAGACATCAATATTTAAACTTTAAGGGCTGTATTAAATATATAATGCCAGGTAGAAACATATATATAGAATCTTCTAAAAATTCAAACTAGCAGATGGTGATCAGAGAGGATGAATACACCCTAAAAGAGTACACAGTACCAACTCTTAAGTGCTTTACCTTTCACCCTCCCAACAGAAAGATAACATATCTCATGAACATACAAGCCCAATAGTATCTAGGTTCATCTTAGCTGTAGACACTACTCGATGTGGACTAAAGAAGATGATGGTGTGCTTATCCATACCTATTTAGCAACTGTTGGCTTTTCCCATTTTTCCTTCCCCGAGAACATATGCACACACACTTATGCAATAAACATTCATGTATATGTCACACGTGCACACTTCTGCACACATTGATGCACCCTTTCTGAACTGTACTTCCAACTCAGTGGCTGCAAGTAAAGGTAGGAATGTTTTTGTAGCCCAGTCACCCCCGAGATCTCAGGCTTCTTCTGCTATTATCACTCCCATCCCTACCAATACACACATAGCACCCTGTGATTCAGAAAGCAGAAATATAAGTCTAGCTAGAGAAGAGGAAGCAGTACTCTTAAAACATTACAATATTATTTGTTAATAAGTAAGGGATATGATTTGGGATCACTTAAAAATAAAGTACTGAGGCATTTCTATAATACCGGTAGATATCTCTTTAAGAAAAATTCAAATAGGAACAATAAAACTTACAGAAAAGGATCAACTAGAATATTTTAATTCTATAAAAGGTTCCAACTTTGCCAGGGTCAACACTATCAACAAATTTTACTTTTTCCTTGACAAAAAAATCTTAAGATGCTTTCATATTCTAATAATGCTCAAAGAAAACCCTACCACAAACCCCAGAAAGGGACTGTTTCATCCTACTCTCTGAAGAATTTTTTAAATAGCTCTCGCATAACAATATTTATATCATGGAGATTTTTTTCAATGAAGATTAAGAACTTTATAAATGTCTTTTTTTCTGTATGTGGAAAACTGAAACACAGTGGAGTAAATTGTCCAGGATATCACAAGGAGTGAGGGGGAAGCCAAAAATAAAATTAACTGTCAAGAAAGTGGCCTGTCCACAGAATAAAATATCTCAGTTACCATGGGGGATAGTCATTCTAAAAAGGCAGTAGAATTAAACATCATGTTATATCATGATGATACAGTCAAGTCATTTGTGAGTATCTATATGCACATGAATGCTCTGTGTATCACTGAATTCCCATTGTTTCATTCTTACACCACTTAATTTCTTTGTGCTTGTGTATACTTCTTTTCTCTGCTATTAGACTATAAGATATTTATGGCAGGGACCAAATCTCAGCACTTACATGTATGAGGCACATGCCTGGAATATAGTAAGCAGCCAGGTAACATGGGTATGTTCACATGTAAAATTTCATAGATATACACTTAACTAACACCACCCAGGTCTTCCCTGGTGGCTCAGAGGTTAAAGCATCTGCCTGCAATGCAGGAGATCTGGATTCGATCCCTGGGTCGGGAAGATCCCCTGGAGAAGGAAATGGCAACCCACTCCAGTATTCTTGCCTGGAGAATCCCATGGATGGAGGAGCCTGATGGGCTACAGTCCACGGGGTTGCAAAGAGTCGGACACGACTGAGTGACTTAACTAACACCACCCAACCACCAAAACAAATCATGGTGAGAATCTGAAGTTTCTTAACAACTCAACCCCACATACTAAAGAAGAACAAAGAGATGATCAATATAGGCTACTATAATTGTAATGCACAGAGATACCCTAGATACACTCTTACTTGTTCGTGTGTGCAAGTACATAGATTAAGGTATCCAAGAATGAATTAGCATGATTTACTTGTAGTTAATCAACACCCCATTATTATCCATGAGCTGATTTCCCCAACTGGTATATTATCCTAACCCTTTTGCCACTTGTTACTGCGATATATCCTCTGACTACCTAACTGTTTGGTGGCAGTCATACCAGAAAGGAGAAATAAATTCTAATCAATCCTGTTTACTACTTGTTAACAGCTTTTATGAGGTGCTGTAGTGAAGTTAATAGCATAAAAATGAAGAGCAAATTTAGTTTGGGGTATTTAAACAACATAAGGTACTTTGCCTTCAAAAAAAAAAAAGAAAAACTCCTTCACTCACATTTCATTGATCAGCTGTGAGGTTTATTTATCCATGTTATCTCCATCTCCATTACAAAAGAGTTATCTTGGGCCTAATTTTTAAACAATTACTCAGGAGTTACCTTCCTTTTTCTTTAAAAATTCTCTATTGTCTTACCTCCCAGTCCAAATAATCACAGACGTCTTCGAAGTTAGTGAGCAGAGACACTGAGCAGAACAGCCGTGGCAGCTCATCCCTTGTCATTGGGGGAAAACGGCTATCTTTAAGGGCACTGTTGAAAACAAAGCAAATATTAAAACAGTCACTAGATATGAGTTCCTAGTTTCAAATGCAGACAATCATTTGAAAAAGGTAAGAATTTCTTAAAAAATCAGTAAGGTGAGAAAGGTGCCAAAATTTCCAAATGCATTCAAGCGCTCCAAAGATTTTAGAAGTTATTTTTGTTCATTCAGCAGATTGTGTTTACTAGCCAATGCTGTGACCGATTCAATTGTAAAGAGTGAATGATCAATTACATTTCTTGTATAGTCATTTCCTTGTATACTTCCCTGTTACTTGTAGAATTTGACAATGTTTTATTTGATTTTTGAGGAGAATGAAAACTAGAGCAGTGGAAACTTAGGGGAAGAATTCTACATCTAGCACTGGTAGAAAAAACATATATATATATATATATATATATAAATATATATATTTCATGTTGTTAAAAAAAAAGATTCACACTAGGTTGGACAGCTACCATAGAACAACATATAAAAAGTTCAAAAAAAGGTAAAAATGCTATTTTCTTCAAGCAAAAGAAATCAAAGAAAATGAAAATTATCATGCAAATTATGGACTAAAAGTACAAAGATTTCAGGCCCCCTCTAAAGGAGAATTCAAGATACTACTCAAAAATTGTGAAACTTCAGGAAATAGGGCTAATCTTAGGAAATAAAATTATGATTAGAAGACCATTAATCACATCAATGGATTTCTGAGTACATCAACTCTGATTCAATCCTGTAATCAAGGGTAGTGTACCACAGTGCCAAATTGTAGAAAAACCTCACTGTAAAGGACAAAAATGTTGGAAGACCATAATTCTTCCTGCAACAGTAGAACAGACAGAAAAGACAAAGACATACACACAAACACAGGCACTGTGTGCTCCTGTACTTTTAAAAGAAACCACTTCCTGGTCAAGAAAACAAACACACCTCTGACTGCCCACTGTATTAACGGCATTTGTGCTGTCGATCTTCAAATGTCCTGTATAGCAGAGCCAGGCTTAGAAATGTTTTCACAGATTAATCCTTAGAGGTTACAAACAGAGCCCACAAACTGCTTGGGTCATAACGAAGTTCCATGACCTTTGGAAATAATTTAATTCCTTTTTCAGTGACTTCCTCATTGCTGGATTTTCTTTTTTCTAGCCCTTCCTTTCCATTCAGAAACTCACTCACTGTATTGTACAAATATACCCCTATGTTTGTTAAGTATTTCGATACATTGTGGTGCTCATTCTGTCCTGCCATATAGAGGAAAATGCTTACAGAAAGACAGAGATGTTATATAGAGAGCATACATGTTTTCCCCATTCAAGGAGCCAAGATTAACCAAGAAAACCAGGAAATCTGTGATAATTCATACTCTGAGAATAGCATTTCACTGTTTCATAATTTAACAACGTAAAATTCCTATGGTTTGGCTTCTTTTATTTTCCAACTGGCAAATAAAGTCTTAAGAAATATTTTCAAGTTCTCATCCAAAGCCAACATAAAGACACATATGATGTGTGTATAATACCCGCCAACCCCACCCAGGAGAGGTGTTGTAAAAAACAGAAGAATCCCATGCATAAAAACCCAAATTCACACTTTCAGTTTTCCTTTTGAAAAGAAAAAGAGAGGGTAAGAGAGGGTAAAAAGCCTTATACATTAGAATAACATATTATTTTTAGGGTTATAGATTTTATTGTGGTGAAATATACACAACATAAAAATTACCACTTTAACCACTTTTAAGTGTATATTTCTCTGGGCTTAAATACATTCACTTGTTGTACAACCACCACCACCATCCATCGATCGATCTCCAGAACTTTTTCATCTTGCCCAGCTGAAACTAGGCACCCAGTAACACTAACTCCTCATTCCTCCCTCCTCCCAGCCCCTGGGAGAAATGTAATTTAAATACACTTTTATAATTTCAAATAACTACAGTAATATAGTTGCTAATGCTTTTCCTATAAAACAGCTTTATTGACATACAATTCACATACCATAAAATTCACCCTTTCAATGTACATAATTCAATGATTTTTAGTATATTCAGATTTATACAATCATTACCCCATCCAATTTTAAAATATTTCATCACATCACAAAGAAACCCTATATCCGTTAGGAGTCAGTCCCTATTCTTCCCTCCCCCCAGCTCTTGGCAAGCACTAATCTACTTTCTGTCTCTATGGATTTGCCTGTTCTGGACATTTTATATAAGTAGAATCATACAAATGGTATGATCATACAAATGGTCACATGACCATCTGTGTCTGGCTTCTTTCACTTGGGATAATGTTTTTGAGGTTTTATCCATGTTGCAGGATGTATCTGTATGTGTTAGTCACTCAGTCGTGTCTTACTCTTTGCAATCCCACTGTCTGTAGCCTGCCAGGCTCCTCTGTCCATGGGATTCTCCAGGCAAGAATACTGGAGTGGATTGCCATGCCCTCCTCCAGGGGATCTTCACAACCCAGGGATCAAACCCTCATCTCTTATGTCTCCTGAATTGGCAGGCAGGTTCTTTACCACTAGCACCACCTTAATACATTTTGTAAAAGCACATCATCCTTTTAACTGCACAATAATATTCAATACTATGGATATATCATATTTTTGTTTTCCATTTATCTGTTGAAGGACATTTGGGTTATTTCTGCTTTGGGGCTACTATGAATAATGCTGCTATGAATATTCATGTATGAGTTTTTTGTGGAAAGTAATGTTTTCATTTCTCTTGGGTACATACCTAGGAGTCGAATTGCTGGATCACATGGTAATTCTGTGTAACTTTTTGAGGAACCAGCAAATAGTTTCCCATAGTGGCTGTACCATCCTACATTCCCACCAGCAATGTACAAGGGTTCCAATATCCCTACATCCTCGCCAAAACTTCTTACTGTCTGCCTTTTTCATTATAGTACTAGGTCTCCTTTAATGAAGAGATTTTTGTATCTAGCTCTAGCTTTTATATATATTTAAAAAATACACATGTTGAAGTTGCCATACAGTTAATTTCTCAACACTCTGAGACAGGTTATTATTTTATTTCCTAGCAAACCAGTGAAAGATATATTTTAGCTCAGTACAATTCAAACTATTTCAAATCAACAAAATTTTCAAGTGCAACTGAGGACCAGGCTAGGAAGCTTTCCTTGTGATATGGAGTCTATTGCTCACTCACCAGGGACTTAAAAAAATGTTTAGACCAAAGAGTGAGTGGGAGAATGAGAGCATAGCTAATAAGATAAAATAACAATCATGCCTTGCTATATGACACTCAAAGGTATTAATTTCAAAACACTGAACTAATAAAGGTATGTTAATCATGATGCAAACAGTCTGATTTTACAGAAACACTCATTCAAACAAGACTTTTAATTCTTGCATTTTTCATTGGTAACTTTTCATTAAATTCATGTGCATAGACAAATTCCAAAAGGTAGGAAGCCCTCAGTATCTCTAAATGCAAATTCCTAGGGAAAAGAACTAGCAATGAAAGCCTAGCGAGGATTTAAGGGATTATTAAAAAGATGAAAAAAATGAGGCTGGAGACTACTTCAGAGCTGCTAGACTGGGGTAGATGGCTGATAAACAAGAGGATTCAGCTTCTCTTGGCCCTGCTCCCTTTTGTATATAGAATATGTGATGTGGAAGCTGAGCCTTTAGAGACAATATGCTATGGGGAGTCAGGTAGTGACTTACTCGGGTTGACCCAGCTAGGTAGTGACACAAGTAGGGGGACAACCCAGATTCTCTGATGCAAGTTCACAATTCTTTCTAGTATCCACTCCTTAGTTGCTACTTTTGACAGGATTATGAGGTTGTTGTTTTTTTTTTAATTTTAAAACAAAATGCTTGCCTTACTAGGCAATTCTGATCTCATACCTGCAGTGCCTCTGCCTAAAAAAGATAAATAATAATTTAACAGCATTTACTAGTAGCCAAGGGGCAAATAGAGCTAGACGTACTGTCTACTGGAAATCTGCAGGATCAAAAGGGATTTTTAAGTATTAATACTGTCCATGGAAAGCATTTTATACCAAAGTAACTGAGTGAGTGAAGTCGCTCAGTCGTGTCCGACTCTTTGCGACCCCGTGAACTGTAACCCACCAGGCTCCTCCATCCATGGGATTCTCCAGGCAAGAATACTGGAGTGGGTTTTATACCAAACTAGTATGTGCCAATTTAAAGAACTGACAAAAAAAGAGATCTTGTAGAAAATTTGTATGACGTTCTCTTCGTTACAATAGGAAGCCATTTTCTAATGTTTAAATATTGCTAGGGAAAAAACCACTTATGTACAAAAAATCTGTTGGCTGCTCCATCACCCATATGATGGATGGCTAAGGTTTAAACAACAGTTTGATTCAATACCAAATTCAAATATATTCAATTCAAATTGGCATCTTCCCAAGAATATATTCCACCTAATTGAGAAGCAGCATTAACATCTGTCAAAGTTAATATCTAATGTTAAATAGCACTTTAATGAAAATGAACATTTAAAAAAAAGTATTAGAAGCTTAGCTATCAAAGAATCACATGGTTTGTGACAGTACCTGGAAACTATGAGGGAAAAAAAAACAGCTGAAAAGAGACAAAGCCTTAGACATGGCAAGGCTCACCAAAAACAACAGAGCATGCAACAGAAATTATTTGTGAGTCTAGATAGCTAGCCATTCACTCACTCATTCATTCATTCTTTTGCTTTCTAAAACACTGATGACCATAATCAGTTAACCAGTGGAAAGATACCAAACTGAGAAAGGCTTCATATTACAAGCAATCATTTTCCAGGACAAGGAAGTAATAACCAAAATTTAAAATCCTTGTTTGGACAGGTGAAGAAAAGCAAATCAAGTACATATTAATCTAAAAAAAATTTAAAAAAAAACACAACTTTTTACACAAGGGGTTTCAATTATCTGGAAATTCTGCCATTCTTCGTCAGAGCTTCTAGAACAGAATGGACATGTGACAGGTCTGAACTCCGGGAGCTGAGAAT